TTAATCATTGTAAACTATTTCATTTGTTCAAAACAAACTAAAGCCAACCAAGGTGAAAGTGGAACTCATCCAATGAAATTAATTGTAAACTATTTGATTTGTTCAAAAAGAACTAAAGCCAACCAAGGTACAAGTGGAGCTCATCCAATGAAATTCATTGTAAACTATTTCATTTGTTCCAAAAAGAACTAGAGCCAACCAAGGTGAAAGTGGAACTTATCCAATGAAATTCATTGTAAACTATTTCATTTGTTCAAAAAAAAACTAAAGCCAACCATAGTGAAAGTGGAACTCATCCAATGAAGTTCATTGTAAACTATTTCATTTGTTCAAAAAAAACTAAAGCCAACCAAGGTGAAAGTGGAACTCATCCAATGAAATCTGGCGGGAAAATATCTGATGTTCAATACATATTTATAGATATATTTAGTCAACCAATCTGATGTTCAGTACATATTTATAGATATATTTAGTCAACCAATCTGATGTTCAATACATATTTGTAGATATATTTAGTCAACCAATCTGATGTTCAATACATATTTATAGATATATTTAGTCAACCAAGTTGCAAACTCTAAGTATTAAGACATACTATATACATATGTCTTGTGGAAAAATGTTTCATCAATTTATCTCGTGAACTGTGTTTGAAGTCCTTAACAATGGAAACTTTTAAAAAAAGACAATATTTTTAGGTAAACTCTTCCTATTTTTGTTAAGACTACGAAGGTACAATCTACTTGAGTGTCATAGATGAATATGTATATTTTGTTCGCCAAATGATGAGAAAAAAATTTAAATAGTTTGCCAGAACATTATTTTAAGTTAGCATTTGTTTAGAATGTAAGTACACAAAAATTAATTATTGGGTTAGAGAAAAAGTTAGTTTTTAGAGTTAAAAAGGTTGTAGCTAAAACGTTGTATATACTTTTTTCCTTCACTCCACGAACTAAAAATTATCCTAACAATAAAATTAAATCGACTTAGCGAACAAAAATAGAACTATGACGTGGCTATAGTGCGGAGAATAAATGTATGACAGGAAAAACGAATGTTGAGTCGACAGATTTATCATGAAGTTGGACAAGAAATATTTCAAAAAAAAGTTAGTTCCAGCGTCGAGTGTTAAAAAATCATGGACGATAGTGTATAATTATATTATTTCGAAGTATTCATTTAGCCAAATTGAGAAGAAAATATACTAAAATATGTTTTTTGTGAGATTGTAATAAAACTTAGGTTTTACGAACATGGTGAGTTTGATTGTTTCGTACAAAGCTACACGACGGCTATCAACGCTTAACCATTCCCTAATTTTGTACTGGCAGACTTGAAGGAAATTAGCAAGTCTTCGGATTCCCAACATGGGCGCGCTAACTACCAGGCCACTCTCGGCCTTTGTTAAATGAAGTTTTATTCCGGTAAATATAAGAGGAAAAGACAAACAAGACATATATTTGCAGAGAGACGGCAATGCGAATAACGCATATTTGAGCACGTTGTTGATGTAAAGAGTGTGTAGTTATAGAAAAGGATAGTTAATTCGACAGAAACAGTGTTGATCAGATGTCTTTTTTAAGGGATTCAAATTATTGTACTGTACTTGAAGATGTATCATGTACCTGAATATTTAACTACAAAGTAGTTGTTTTATTTTAAAATTTTCTTACGATTTTTAATTGAATTACTTGTAATAAAATGTTTAAGAGACTATAAAATGTGCTTTGCTATCTCAAGAGAGAATTTTCTCAGGTTCTCTATACTGTTCTGTTGTATTTAATTTATAAATAGTGAATAAGACAATGTGTCCACTACTCCTTTTTCAAAGAAGTTCAAAATGTAGATTAAATTATAAAAAGAAACACAGTAACCTTAAATTATTTATTTTTTGTTGCACTTTATACAGTCTTTTAATAATTTAGTCAAATGCAGTGTGATACTTTGTTTTGTTATATAGGTAGGATGACAACACTGTGATGTTTAGTTTTGTTATATAAGTAGGACAATGACAATATGTTATTATATAGGTAGAATAATAAAAATATGATGTTTAGTTTTGTTATATAAGTAGGATAATAGCAATATAATGTTCAGTTTTGTTATATATAAGTAGGATAATAACAGTATGATATTTAGTTTTGTTATATAGGTAGAATATTAACAATATGATGTGTAGTTTCTTATATAAGTAGGATAATAACAATGTTATTATATAGGTAGGATAATAACAACATGATGTTTAGTTTTTATATGTATATATATATATACATATATAGTAGGATAATAAGAGTGTCCTAAGTTCAAAGGCGTATCCTCTATTTGACCTTGATGAATAATGATAAAATACTGTCAAGCTAGTACACTCATGTGTGTACATTGTCAAGTTAGTACATACATGCGTATGTCGTCAAGTTAGTACACTCATGTTTGTACATTGTCAAGTTAGTACACTCATGTGTGTACATTGTCAAGTTAGTACACTCATGTTTGTACATTGTCAAGTTAGTACATACATGCGTATGTCGTGAAGTTAGTACACTCATGTTTGTACATTGTCAAGTTAGTACACTCATGTGTGTACATTGTCAAGTTAGTACATACATGCGTATGTCGTCAAGTTAGTACCCTCATGTTTGTACATTGTCAAGTTAGTACACTCATGTGTGTACATTGTCAAGTTAGTACACTCATGTTTGTACATTGTCAAGTTAGTACACTCATGTGTGTACATTGTCAAGTTAGTACACTCATGTGTGTACATTGTCAAGTTAGTACACTCATGTTTGTACATTGTCAAGTTAGTACACTCATGTTTGTACATTGTCAAGTTAGTACACGTGTGTGTATATTGTCAAGTTAGTACAAGCATGTCTACACTGTCAAGTTAGTACACGCGTGTGTATATTGTCAAGTTAGTACACGCGTGTGTATATTGTCAAGTTAGTACACTCATGTGTATATTGTCAAGTTAGTACACGCATATGTATATTGTCGAGTTAGTACACTCATATGTATATTGTCATGCTAGTACACTTATGTGTACATTTTCAAGTTAGTACACTCATGTGTGTACATTTTCAACTTAGCACATGCACGTGTGTAAGTTGTCAGTAAATGAGCTACAAGAAAGTTGAAAAATTCTTGTGATGTAATGACAATAATACAAAAATTAACACTACAAGTTTTGGAGATAATACATTATATTTATTTATTCTTTTTACATCCATTGAATAATTGAAATTCAACGCATGACCACAGTTAGAACATTAATAATCACTTTTATCTAATGTCAGTGAATCCCGTATACTAACACCATGTCGTACCAAACCATCTTACAACCTTTGACCTTAGAATATATAGACGAAACTTTGCCAAGTTAGTACACACCCGCTACTGGCGTGCTTGTATAATGTCTTCAGACTGTCCACTGTTCTTACTGCACGGTATCACCACATGACCACAAAACGTCCTGTACTTGACCACAAACCATATTAGTTTCTCCATAACGACATGAAGGCCTCACTCACTCACCGCCATTTTGTTCTCTTCCAGACATCATGGCGCCTGCGAGTCGGTCTTTGTTACATAGTAGTTGTGTTTTACGCCGAAGTTTCAAGTAACACGACTCATCACAATATAAGTGTGGTGTTTAACGAAACTTCCACTAGGCTTTTGCTGTCATCCACTTTTGTACAGCTAGAGTCTGGGACTTGTTTATTTAGAGAACACTATACAGGTACGTATATATATATACATGGTAAACACATGTTATTCAATCAGTACCAGTTTGAAACAACTGGACAACGTAACTCACAGTCCTGTACAGGCGAGCAATGACAACTACGTTTACAAGCAATTTGGCCACCATACACGCAATAAAACAAAAAAAATACAATAAAAATAAAACATTCAGTTTTTTACAGAATGTGACACAGGTCAGATTTTAACCTGGTACGATGATACAGCCAGTGTATGGCACAACGTAATGAGACCAAAGAAATTCCTTCGTCGATACTACTTGGTGTCCACAACACTTCCAGTGGGGCCATTGGTCATTGGCCCGGCTAGTGACGATGGAGTGACCCCCGGGGGTTCAGTCTGGCTATTCTCCGAATCACTACAGTTTTCACTGCTACTGCCTTTCTTCTCTGTGCCGTTCCCGTTGTGGGTCTTCACGTGCTTGCTGAGGTGATCGGACCGCATGAACCGCTTGTTGCATATGGGGCAAGCGAAACGTTTTTCGCCGGTATGGGTTCTCAGGTGACGCTGTAGCTCATCTGATCTTGTGAATCGTTTTCCACAAAAAAGCCAGTTACACACGAAAGGTCTTTCTCCCGTGTGCCAGCGAAGATGAGCCTTGAGATGTGACGTCTTGCCGTACACCTTTCCACATCCTGGAATGTGACAACTGTGGATATTCTTCTTCCTCAGGTGGGCCCCTGCTGGTCCTAATCTCTCGGCCTCTTGACAGTTAGGACAGTCACATGTAGCCCGCCCCGTGTATCGGCGCCCGGAACGTGGAGATGAGACCTGTGACAAGGGTGGTTGGGAGAGTCCAAAAGGTGAAGGTACAGAGTGGGCCACTGCCTGAGTTGGGGGTAGCATCGACTTGTATGTGTCTTGAAATATATGCTGTCCCGACGTGAGAAGGTGTGCAGAGTTAGAGGCAGCGGCTAGGGTAGGAGCAAGTCCGTAATCTCCTCCGGCATAGTTTGCCGGTATCTGTCCGTGCAACCCCGGGGTAGCACCTGACATATCTAGCCAAGAGCCGGCTCCAGCGGAAGCAGCATGCATGTCCCACCAAGACGTGGTGTTGAGTGTGTTCACTGAAGACACCTCGGTCTTGATGCCTGGGTGAGCGGACCCAGCCATATTCATGTTAAAGGGCCAACTTTCGTAGGGATGAGCGCCTACACCTACTCTGGAATACATACTGCCTAGGTGAGCGGTGTCGCTGTGTACTTTGCTCAACAGGTGATGACTCTGGCCAGTGTCTACTTGCGGAGATGCTGCTGTGGCTCCTGGGTAAAACAGGTTGTCCCCACCGTACGATCCCGAGTTACACGTTGTCGTTACCACTGGTCTTTGATAAGAGAGGGCAGGGGAACTAGTATTAGAGAAGGCGGGGACTCGTTGGGAGCAGAGCTGGAGACCGGTAGAGGGCGCGGTGACAGCCTGGCCACCCTTTTTCCACGGGTGAAACCCTTTTCCTATTGCAGCGTCGGCGAGAGGTGGAGGACTTTTACTGGTCAACTTGTTACACTGAGCAGCTAACATAGCAAGAGGTGACCCACCAAGTCGAGGATGTTCCTGAAGAGAAAAAATAAAATAATATAAAATAGTCATTTTTCTCCTTATGCCGAAAAATTCGCATGATGTATTTGCTGGAATACATATATATAAATATTAAATCATCTTTTCTGTTTATATGCATACCTGTAAAGATCTGAATCGGTCGTACGGATAAATCTACATAAATAACAGTAGAAAAAAGAACATCAGAAACTTGTACAGTTCATGCTTGAAAAAAAAAAACACTCGTTAAATACACATTAGCAAGACGTACATGTTTAGTCGCCCTTATCTAGGATGTTCCACACGCATAACATGTGCTATCATAACTGTTGGCAGTGGATTTTGAGCGAAATGATTTGTGAAAATTAGATAACCTCAAAGAATACATCTACAGAATGGTTCGAAAGTAATAGGAAGCTTGATTTTTTTTAAATGGCAGCATCAATTAATTTACAGGACGAAATAAGTCTCATCTGCGCTTATGTTTCCAGTATGTTATCAGGAAATAAGTCTCATCTGCGCTTATGTTTCCAGTATATTGACAGGAAATAAGTCTCATCTGCGCTTATGTTTCCAGTATGTTGTCAGGAAATAAGTCTCATCTGAGCTTATGTTTCTAGTATGTTGTCAGGAAATAAGTCTCATCTGCGCTTATGTTTCCAGTATATTGACAGGAAATAAGTCTTATCTGCGCTTATGTTTTCAGTATGTTGACAGGAAATAAGTGTATATATATATATCACATTACCATTATCTGTCCTGGTTGTCAACTTATTGTCATAAGGGATAACGTCTGTGGGAATAGCACCCTAATGCATAGGGATATCCCATCTATCAGACAAAATCCAAACGCCGATGTCAATCTAATCAGCTGTTATGGAAAATCAAATAAGGGTACGAAGCTGAGCGCTTACACCCACAACGTCTCAGCTTCTACTGCCTTTCACTGTGTATAGCCAGTTGTGGGAAGGCAGATACCCTTAAATTTCTTAAAGTAGAAATGAAACCACCCTAATATTTCTACTAATTAAACTCCCAACCTCCACCCTTACAAAAAGCTGTTAAATAAAACTATAAAATATTAAATAGAACTATTAGACACATTACTTTACTATAAATTTTGTCAATTTTCAATAACGGAGAATTATAGCAAAAAATAGTTCATAAAGCTTCTGTTGCTCTCCATTTCATATATGATATATACGTATGATATCATTTTACAAATTATATAAAAACAGCTCCACTTTGTTGTCGCAAAAGACCAATTATAGCATTGCTTTTATTTGCCTTTTTTTTACGACGTTTCAACAAAAATAAACCTGAAGAAAGTAAACAACTGTTGCTCGATACATCGTTAAGCCTTTATCTTGGAACAGTAATTTTATTTTTATAGTAGCGAAAAGTCCTCAAGACCCTTGACACAATCTACTCACAAACAAGTCTTGTGTAAATGTCCATAATAACTAACCCTGTTTAACACACGGACAGTGATAAGTGTCTGTCAAACATAAGATTTTGAAGCAAAGAAATCGTAGTTTTAGAACCACGTTTTAATTTAACTCTGTTTCGGGAGTGGGCTTATTTTACAGCAACCTTTACTGAGTCATTTAAATATACCCAAATAGACTAAAAAATTAAACAATGTTATTATTCCTGTTCATTGTGCATTTACTGATTTAAAAGTGTTATTTATTTTGGAGTTGATTCGTAGTTCCTAATCACACAATTAGCTGTTTTTGTTTCTTTTTTTTTTTTAGAGAAAGGCCACACATTGAGCTATCCGCTCTGTCCACCACGTGGAATTGAACCCCGGATTTTAGCGTTTTCGTGCAATCAACCCACCTTGTGCTCCAGAACCCCATACATATACACTTACACTTATTCACGATAAATATGCTTGATCTTTGCTAAATACCTTAACTTCTTAAGTATTAACACCAAGATATTAACTCTCATTCGATGGGGACATACTAAACAAAATCATATGACACATCAGGATAAAGAATGGTAAATCTGGTTCGTCTAATAATCGATATTTTTTGTGTGTCTTTTGCTAGGCCGTTCCTATAGTGGGTTAGGTGTGAATATTTTACATAACGCTTTTTATTTCTTGTTAAGCACAAAACAAAATCATATGACACATCAGGATAAAGAATGGTAAATCTGGTTCGTCTAATAATCGGTATTTTTGGTGTGTTATTTGCTAGGCCGTTCCTATAGTGTGTTAGGTGTGAATATTTTACATAACGCTTTTTATTTGTTGTTAAGCACAAAACTATTCATTAGACTATTTGTAATGTGCTCACCACGAGTATCTAAAACCGGTGATAGCGTTATGTCTTCAGACTTGCCGCTGAGCCACTGAGAGGGATGGGTTGATGGGAGGGTCTTATATAACGCGCCAGTATCCTCAGACAACTTGAAAGTCCTAGGTCTGGATGTTACTAATCATGTGCTACATCTTAAATTTTTTTTTAAAGGTAGTTGAGGATACATCGTTATAATATTTATCGCAAACTCCCAAGGATTGTATTTATAAGTATAAAAAGAATATGATAAATGTACAACAGCAAACTTAAAAACAAGAGTGACAGTCTGATTTCTTACTTTTGGCAGTTTTTTTTTTTTCTGGTTCGTAAAATCCTAAAGTTATTTTATTAGTGAAAAAGAGTGTGTTTTCTTATAGCAAAGCCACATCGCGCTATCTGCTGTGTCCACCAAGGGGAATCAAACCCCTGATTTTAGCGTTGTAAATCCGAAGACCGGGGGACTAGTGAAAAAGAATGTCAGATATTATAACCCTGATCTCCATTTTTTTCTCACTTTCTCAATTCTTTCCGTGCAGCGTCAACCGGAAATATCAGCGTCTAATAGCCACAATTTGTTTCGCCTTATAAAGGTTCCCATAGGTTTTTGCATGAAACATTTTCCTCGTCAAGAAAAAAATGAAAACAACATTAACAAAAACTCCAATGGACGAAATATACAACAGTAGTTGTAAAGTAAAAATAAAGCAAAGATCACAGAGCGATATGAAATTCGGTTTTAATGAGGGTAAATGTCGATATCCGGCCATCGTTAAATGTGAATAACATAAACACAACCGGAGCTCGTGTATATTACAACAAACAATATAAATATACCAGTACTTATGGTATAAGTTGTAGCTATCGAATGTTTACGGTATAGGTTGTGCTATCGGATATCAATCGTTGTCATGGTTAGAGCTACCACTAACCATGACAACAATAAACATGATACGGAAACAGACAAACAGACAGATAGATATGGGAAAAACCCGTAATGTGTACAAAATGCTACCAATCTGTCTAAGAAAATAAATAGTACAGGGTCTAAATAGATTAAATGTTCCGTGAAAAAGGAAAAAAAAAAAACGACTTCGTTACTTAAAAACACAGAAGTAAACGTCATTACAATAAGATAATAATTTGGAACTTAACGAAATAAAAATGAACTCAACAATTAGTTATTATGCAAATTGACTGTAAAATCCCGTACGGTGTTTTTGTTTTTGAGGGCAGTTCTGTGTGGACATTTAACTAATGTCCCGGATCGTTTAATGTACGGTTGTGTGCACGACCTGAAGGTTCTTAAATTGAAAACTGAAATTAACAATGGCAGAAAGACTTCGAAGAACAGGCTAGTACTAAAAACATTAGTTTTGCCATACAAAAATGTTGTTCAGATGATGTAACTACCGTATGTTGCATAATGAGATTTAAATAACAGTCATTGAAAATATTGTTCTCACAATGTTCGGAGAGGAATGGAACGATAATAGAGGGCCAAGCAGCATGCAATGTAAAATTAAAGAACAGTATAAACAGTAATCTTTTTTTTTTAACATTCAAACTAAACACACCTATCACTGAAACGATCTTTCTTTTTTTATAATAACTCTCCTATTATCAATCAAGAATACACTGATAGACTTAAATCATATGTAATTGACACTACAAGCACGTTAAGGAAGGGGGTTCTCGTGTCGGCGAAAAGAGTCAATTTTTGCCACTAGTCTCTGTTTAGTATTGATATAAACATTAAAATAATCATCGTTCACAGGTTAAATATAATTTCTTCAATATTATAAACTTACATTTCATAACATCAACTGGTCTCTGAAACTTTGCTATACAAGTTTTATTAGTGTTTTATTTCTTAATAGTTTGATTTGCTGATGAATAAACTCCCCCCAAGCTTACTGTCGCGCCTCCTGAGTGTCTCCCAATTTGTATGTGTATATACACTGTAACGTTGCATGCAATATGTAACGGCAGAATATTGAGGCGGTGATGGTGGGCAGGGCTACACTGGCCACCAGACAGGTGAGATCCGCCTACAGCATGGAAACACCTGAATAATTGCGTTGTGTAAGTTTTCCCTCTTTCCACTTTTCCTATTTCAATTACAACAGCTGACGTGGTTAGTAGATCAATCATTTGCTGAAACACGCAAATTTAAAAGAAGGGAATAATTGGAACTTTCATTCGGATTTGGGAATAATAGAAAATAATAGACAACTTTAACATTCCAAATCTCAGTATTTCCTATAAACACCAACAGGAGAACGAAATAGAAGGATTTCATTTCCAATATAGTGAACACTTATACAATATTACTATACGGTGCGTGTTAGCCGTTTATTCAACTTGTTCTACTCTCCTGACTTTGAGAAGTTAGTGTAATGGTAAATATACGTTGTTTAAATGCTTGACGTGGATGAATGATACGATGTTCAATACCTCCTCATAGAATCGATTAGAACAAGGCATAGAAGTGGCCAAGTTCTTTTCGTAAAGTGTTTTATTAGTTCGAGTGTTTCTAGCAACTTACATGAATTGAGCGCTATAGGTAAGTTTGCTTACACGCACGAAACACAATTCTGTTTTCAATGACTTTACAATTGAGAATATGTATATCCAACTGTAAGGGCGTAGCTGGGGGAGTCGAAGGACCACCAGTCCACCACCAATATTCCAAAAAGTCTAAAAGGT